GTAATTTATAGATATTTCTTAAAAGATTTCATAATTTTATTTTTTGAGGTATTATTTCAAGGTTGGACTTAGAACTTTTGAATGTTCCAATAAGTTTTTTAGCCATTAACATTAGTAAATTAAATAGTGCTAACAAACGCACAAATCAAAATCAAATCAATACTAATGCTAACTAAAGAAATTTAATTCAATACTACGAACGAGAATGTATTGAATATCTATTTTTTGTTTTGCAATAATTTAGATAAAATGCATAACCTATTTTTATTTTTTCTTTAGCGTTTAGTCATGTATTTAATACTCCCTTATTAGTCTACTTATTTTAGCATGACTTAGTACTCTTAGATTATGTTTATTTTTATTATGGCTTTTTAATTAGCAATATTTATATTACATAATTTTATTGTTGAATATTTTAGGATAATGCCATGACATATCTCATATTTTGTATTATTTTCTTGGAAAATACTTTATATAGTTGTATCTTACTAGGACTAAAGAAATATTTTGAGCATAATTTATATGTTTTGTTCTACGAAGATTTTACCGGAAAAAACCTCGAAAAAACCCGAATAACCCGAGAAAACCCGAGAGTGAAAAACCCGAGTTTTATTGGTTTGGTTTGGTCTTTAAATTTAATAATCCGACACAATTGGTTTAGTTTGGTAATTGTAAAATCTGAACCAATCCGACCTATATACACCCCTCTGTGCATAAGCAATGACAGTTGAACTTGGTATAGTAAAAAAAATCGATGAGTAAATTCAACTTTTTATTTTTGTGAAAATTGTACCTTTATAGTCACTAGTTTCTGAAGATATTTTAACTTAACAGCCCAAACCCCAGAAACAAGATTTTGTCTTTAATCAATATTGCGTTATCATTTTTCTTAACGAATTTTTGGAAAACTTTCCTAAACCAAGCGGCCTTAAGTAATTTTGGATGTGCTCTTTGCTTGACAATCCTCAAGAATCATCAAATGGTTATTTTTGCCTACAATAATGGTTGGTGATATTAATACTATATGGTAAATATTAATCCCTAGACGTTTGCTGCCAAGTATTAGAATGCGTACTTTTTAAGGCCAAAATAAGTACATAAATACATTTGTAAACTATTACACTACAAAAAAGACTGGAATTAGCTACCAGCTTCGTCACTAATTTGTCGTAAAATTGCTTGTAGCTAATAATTTTTTTTTTAATAATTTATCGCTAAATAGGATTAATGAGGAATTTTTCTATTTAGCTATAGAATTCTGTCCGTCACTAATTTCTATTGCTTAGTAGTATTAGTGATACTAACAGGGTTAATCAACAAAAAAAAAAACTTAAGATTGAAGCTGTGTTAGAATTGAGAAAAACACTAATGGGACTGGAAATAGAATCTAACAATGGATTGGCAGAAGAGAGGAAAGCAAAGTAGAAGCATAATGAGCAAAAGGCTGCAATTCCCGAAAGGGAAAGTCCAAGAATGGTACCAACTCTCTAGTCTATCTTTGATATCAGACACAAGTAAAGAGAGGCACATACCTCTTTCCTCTTTTGGCTACTTGCTTCGATTCCATTTATTAGCCCTCTGCCCCCCTTGCCTGACATTTGTCGCCTTTGACTCTATCACCAATAGTGCTTAATCTTTTTCCAATTTCTGGGCCCTGTACCTTTTCATGCACGCCTATGGAAAAATGGCTACATTTTACTATACTATTCAATATGCAGTACACCGATGAAAACTGAACACTATTTCATTGTGGTAGAAAAGCAACAAAGAAACTATTCCTTCCTCGCAATTTATGTAAAAGTATGTGACTGGGTATGAGTTTAGGACGACTTCTGAAATTTGTGATACGAAATAAGTCATAAAAATTTGTGTGGCTTGAAATCATCTCATTAGGGGTAAAAAGAGAAATTTAAAATTAAATTATTATTAAATATGAAAATGTGTCATTCGGTTTGGGACTGAAAAAATATCTCATAAATTGGAATAAAAGAAGTATTTTATATAGAAAATGATGACACTGTATAGCCGCTCTTCAAATAATATCCTATTTTTTGTATATATGCACATTTATGTATGTTATATACAGAAAAAAAATATATAAATATTATATATTTTTGCGGCTACCAAATATAAATAATTTCAGTCGGGAGCAAAAAGTGATATTTGCCCTATTTTATATGCAACTTTTTTTCCCCTAAAAAGATAGCACATTTTATATTATGAAATGTTTTAATTTTACCATTAATAATATGCTCTTACAGCCTTTAAAAAGTTATGACATTCTAAAATTACAAATTCTAAGAGTTGTTGGTATGTGCTAAGTCTTTGGTTCGTTCTTAAATTTCGTTCACACACAAATGATGCCATATACTAACATAATCAGAGGGAATAACTTTTTTCCATGGGGCGTATGCACTATGTGTGAATCAGATTATTTTAACTTTATTATAAAATGAATGATAGTTTTTTATACTCGAAAACTCTAAATTTCAAACCTTTTATTTTACCTCAATGTTATGCTCTTATAGTTACTAAATTATTACTTAGGATTATGTAGAAGAACACAAATTTAATCTTTTTAAGTCAAAAGTTTTGTTGCTTTCTTTTTCTAACTCCGTCGTCTCTAATCAAACACTGTCCCGTAAAATGAAACGGACGGAGTATGAGCGTAACTATCCAAACTCCCGTTAACTGAACTAACTCTAAATCTACTCCCTCCGTTTATTTTTAGTAATCCATTTTGGACTTTTCACGCTCCTTGAAAAATAATAAATACTATATATATTTCACAATTTTACCCATAATAACGTATTTCTAAAAGTCTTGGGAAATGAGTAGCTAATGATAAAGGTAAAACAGGAAAAAAAAGATTGTCTTTCTCTTGATTTAGTATAGTGGACAAGTAAAAGTGAAAATATATTTTTAATATAGTGGACAAGTAAAAGTGATCGGAGGGAGTAAATGTGATTTGACTACAAGAGGAATAATGCTAAAGCTTTTGGGGTGAAGACAGGTGGAATATGAGTCCAGTCCAAAAAAGAGCAGCCCCATACATAAAGTATCTTATATTCACGTATGGTCCGAGGAAGGGCCGTATCCCAGAGGATCTGATTTGAACAACCTACGCTAACCTAAACACTAGTGACTGCTTTCACGGCTCGAACTCATAACCTATTAGATCATACACGGAGACAACTTTACTGTTACTCTAAGATTCCCCGCAACTAATGTATTTAGATGGCCAAAAAAAAAGAAAAGAATATAATACAAACCAAAAATTGGAATATGATAGAGATGGATAAGACGGGACAATGAATGGACAAATGTGTGGGGAGGGATAATGAATTGTGATAAGAAATTTGTGATAGGGGATGCTCCAATACTTTCACTTTTTTTCTCCATGTTTCTTGGCCACTTGCCATGCCTGTCTTATGCCTATCTATTCCCTTTAGCTTCTTTCATCTTCATTTTGCCCCTCAAATAGTTAACATATTTTGAGATACATTTTAAGCAATCATTAATATATAGTGAATGCTAAGGGATTCTGCTGAAAATTTAAATTTCTTATGGATACCATCGAAAGTCTCAACCTTATTAAGCAGACTCACTGAGTCTCTTTGGACACTAGATAGTATACTTAGCCCATTCTTCTGCACGTACAAGAAAAATATACTTCTACCTTGGATAATATTTTTAGAGTTTAGTAACGCATAGTGACAGCGTAAAATTTTCAGATCACTTATTAGGTAATAATATATTCGTAAAACATTAAATGTTAGCATGATATAAATAATTACAAACTTACTTTCACAAGTTAAACTACTTTAAAGGGTAACAAAGTATTCACACTATCATAGCTAGCATACAACTTAAATACTTTTTGAATTACATTTGAAAGGTAAATATCTTAAGAAGAGAAGAAAACACGTCATGATTAGCTATAGTATATTATGGTTTCACACCTCAAACCTCTTTTGTGCCTAATAACACTTTTTAAAAAAAAATTAATTAGCTCTTTAATACAAAGAAGTCTTGATTCCTTTGGCACAAAAAAACTCCATCTGATGGTGCTTATTCTAATTAATCCACTAAAGACGAAAGCTTTACGTGACGCATGGCAATAATGCAAAATATATACTCCTCGTAACCCCACAGATTTTATACGTTTTGACTGATTTTGAGATAATGGTCACTTTTCAGGAATGCCATGGACTCCAACTTAATCAGCTCCTAAAACACATAAACAAGCCACTACTGCTGAAATTCTGAAAAGGGTAAGTGCTTTTTAAACTTAAAAGCTATTGTAATGATTTGTCTAATATAAATCTATCGTATCAAAAAAGATAAGCGTCTATGTTTTGCATTGTACACTCGCACTGTAATTATTGAGTTATGTTGGCATACAATAACATTCTTTATATCAAAGTAGCCTACAAAAATAGGGCAATAACTTGTTATAATCGCACTTATAATATAAAGTTCTTTAGTGTGTGACAGTGTGAGTGTATATAAATTAAACATAAAAAAGAAAGCAGTGTGCTTTACTAGTTGTAGGGTGGCAAACGGGTAGTCGGGTCGGATATGGGCATGTCGAAAACGGATAATGCAAAAATGGATAAATTATTCGATCCGACTCATATTTAATACAGATAAAAAATATGTTAGCCGGCGGATAATTATCCATGACTTCTTGAATTAGATCATTTTTGGGAGAATTCCTAGTCTTCTAAATTTGAGGAACCATCAACTTGCGGATTTACAAATGTAAAAGTTAAACCCATTAGTTATTCATTAATTATCCATTTTCTAAGTGGATAATATGGTTCTTATCCATATTTGACCCATTTTTAAAAAATTCATTATTCAATCCATTTTTAATAGATAATATGAATAGATAACTGTGTTCTTTTAATCATTTTACGACCACTAACTAGTTGTACCATTTGCCCTGTATAAATAGAGGTGCTTGGAAACCCTCAAACCATCCTAAGCTAGCTACAATTCCTAGATAGCTAACTTCCCCTCCCTATGTGAAAACCTCGAAACAAATTCCCTATAAAAAGAAAGGGAAAAAACCCTGTCTTTCTACATCCTAGTCCGTAGCATAGGGAGAGGAAGAAATTAAAGACAAGGAGCTAGATGCAGTGAACTGAATGTTGAGTGCACATTAAAGGTCCTTGATTTATCCTCTGTGTGCTCTATAATCTTCATTTATCTCCTTCAACTATATTCACTATTACTATGTTTGTTCGGTAGTGAATCGAGAATTTAGACATTATGGGTTATACATTGACAGTGGTCGATTCTGAAATACATATATATCTAACTCTATTTATACTTGTTTTTATTTTCTTCCATATATACAGGTTCAACATCGAAGCACTAGATTTTTCCAAACTCGCGAACTCATTGTTAGATCTGCCACTGGCGTATGATTGTAAGTGTAAAAAGAAAGGAGGCAAGTGGGAGATGTTGACAGAAGATAGAGAGCACAGATGATGATAAGATGCTAACTGGAAGCTTTCTGCATCTTAATCATTTGTGCTCTCTAGTCTTCTGTCATCATCCTCAGCCCCTCCCTAGCTTTAATTTGTTGTTTTAAATGTATTTATATTGTTTGCAGATTTCCTCCTTTTTGTTCAAAATAATGGGAGTTATATTAATTGTTGTTAAGTGTAATTTAATTGACCATGAAATTCAACCTACTAATTAAAAGGTTTTTGAATGGACTTGTTACTTAATTGGGATATCAAATTCCAATCATAGAATACTGCTCACCTAAACGCTTTTGGTTTTTGTTTTGAGTGAGTCAATGTTTAACTTGCCTGTTGGTTGAAAGACATGAGATTTTGTGAAAAGTATATCAAATGATTGTCCAAATTAAGTCACATATATTTGATAAGGTATTTTTAGCTAGTAGAGATCGACATCCTTAATTAGGGAGACATGTTTCTTGATTAAATATAATGACACATGCATCTAATCATATGCAAAAATATGTCCATTCATGAAAGGCATGTTGGTGATTGTTCAATACCTATATATGCCTATTTTTGCTTACAAGAAGCTTAGTTTTATCCTTTGATTGATCTTTAACTCTCTTTCCAAATATCATTTATCTTTATTCTAAGTTTCTTTAAAAGTAGCTTAGAGATTAAAGAGTTTCCGAATTTCTATTTGATTCTATCATTGCAGTAGGACGTCATATTAAAAGTTGCAGTAAATTAGCAGTGGAATTTCACTCTAAAGGCAACGATCATGTAATTGGTGTTTCTTACCCAAATTCTAATCTTCTACTATTCTATATTGTTGCCCCTCGTGTATTGGCTAAGTATTATTATTATTATCAGTATTTCCAACCCTAATTTTCCAGGAATTATACTATGTTCTAATGATTAATTCTCACTTGATTTGTTGGTCATGACCATGTAGCTAATCAAATGTTAATTACTTGACATTAATTCCTACTTCAAAGCCATATCTTACTCCCGGTGTGTTATATTTGGGGTGATTAACTAACTGGCGACCTTGTATCTCAAGCAGGAAAAAGAGCAAGACTAATCTTGTATTGTGGTTATGCTTGTTCAAATGGTAGGGTTTGCATGAATTCTTCTTCTTGGTTGTTTTCTTTTTCCCTATAGATGCAGTTGTTGAGGCTTCACTTACTAATTAAATATCAGAGAAGAGAAATTCATGGTATTGAGCCGTGGAATCAGCCACTGATACTTGTATCAGGATAGACTGCCTACATCACACCCTTCGAGGTGCTGCCCTTCCCCAACCATACATGAATACGGTATGCTTCGTGCACTGGACCGCATTTTTTTTTACTTGAATAGAAATTAATGGTATGTGCTTGCACCCCTCTTATCGATGATAAATTGTATATATGGTTCAATCAAGCCACAAGCCCAATTACTAGTACTGTGTTTTTCTTGTGGATGTATATGATCATTGGAAACATCCTGTTTATCATATGAAAATAGTTAATGGCGCAATAGTTCCTCAAGCGGAAGAAAATTTGTAGTGGTCTAGTCTTTTTCCCGCAATCATCTTATTTCTAACGATTTGTGGCTTAAAAGTTAACTAATTTTCTATCCGTAAGGAGTAAAAGTTTGCAAGTATCCTCACTTTTCTCATGATCTTGCAGCTGAATAAACTTAAAAACAGCAATATCAACCCTAATTTTCACGGGATACTGAAAGAAATTAAAGGTTTTCCACATCCTTTGCCTTGCTCATTTGCCGTTGGTGGAGAATGGATATGCATAAAAAATAATTGCAAGTCTTGTTGGGATCGAAATAATATTGTGTATTTTGAAGAATCCGAAAATCGAAGTCCGAATTTGAAATGTGCTAAATTCGATCCGATCCGATCCATGCACAACCCCAAAGGAAAATACAATATGGTAATATTATTTCTTCATTCAAGAAAAGGTAAAATTCAAATATGAAAAGAAAATTAGGACAAAATTCTAACAAGTCAGGCTCTAATACAACGGACGCCATTATTATTTTTTCCTTTTCTTTCCATGAAAAGGAAGATGGACATGACTAGGGGTGTACATAGGCTGTTTGGTTCGATTTTTTATTAAACCAAAATTAAACCAACTATGTTGGTTTACTAAATTTATAATCAAATCAACCAATATAAACTCGGTTTTTCGGTTTCGTTTTCGGTTTCGGTTTTAGTCGGTTTTCTCGGTTTCTTCGGTTTTTCTATTTTCTTTTTAGTTATATTGTGCTTGAAAAAAAGATCAAATAATCATCAGTTATCTGCATGATTACTATTCATTAAAATAATCTAAGATAACAGTACTACCCAAATCTAAAGGGAAAAAATAGCATAATTAATTTAGTCAAACACTTTAGCTTACCAAATTGTACCGGAGCAGTAAGACTAGTATGCAATTACAACTTGAACAATGGCTAATTCTCAACAAAAATTGCAGAGTGGGAAGCTCGTGTGAAGTGGAGGGAAGGGTTTCCAATATTTGGGGTTCTTTGAGTTTGGAATTGGAACATAGGGAACATATATGGAATAACCTATTTTATTGTCTTTTGTCTTGTTGGGTTTTAGTTTGGGCTTCAGATTTAGGTTATGTAGATAGAATCTATTTAGTGGATAGTAAATTTACAAGTCCACACATAAATAATATCTTACGATATTGAAAACTATAAAAAAAGTTTAGAAAATACTTACAAATTAGATTTTAATGATTATTTCTTATGTATAACTTTTTTTAAATTTATATATATAATGTCGGTTTGGTTTTGATTCGGTTTGACGTTTTTATTAATACTAAACCAAACCAAGAGTGATCGATTTTTTATTTTCCAACACCAAACCAAACTACAAGTCGATTTTTTTCTTAGGTTTGACGACTTGGTTTGTCGGTTCAGTTTGGCTTAACGGTTTTGCTTGTATACCCCTAGGCAGGACAATTGAAGACAACATTCTCATTTCAGTTCACATTCACAAACAGCTGACATGTTTGATTTTTTTGGAGGCACTGAGGAGGTGCTACTTTTTGAAGTTTATGGATTGATAATTTTAGTTCATTAGAGTTACTGAGTTTCAAATTAATAGTTTGTATATATTCAATAGAATTTATTAGATAAATATATAATTTAAATCAAAGTTATTGGGTTCGGCCGAATTCGTAAATGTTGTGCTATCTCCACGAGCATTAACAAAGTTAATTGAAGAAGAGGGAAGAGCGTTCAAGATTGAAATCCTCTCCATTTTCTTTGTCTCCATTTCCCCAAGTTCTTATTTGGATAGATGACATGTGTCCTATATTGACGTCAATGTTTTAGATTAATTAAATAAAAATAGGTCTTAACCATTGTTAGGATAATGAATATTTTCATATATTTTCTTCTAAAAGAGTTGGCAAATCCCACAATTCTAGGAAGCATATTTTCGGATGCTCATCAGTCATTATTTTATAACATCACCAATCCTACAACAATTAAGCCCTCAAAATGTTTTATACCAAATGATAAAAATATTTCTGGAATTTTATATAGGCTTTTCTAAGGGGCATTTGCATCTATACCCAGATTTTGGGTCAACTTTTAACTTATACTTGCTTTACAAAAAAATGCAAGCGTACTCATTTTTAATTTCGGATAACTTCAGACATACATGCCTGAAGTAGCAAGAATTTTATGTCTGAAGTTTGAACTTCAGAGTGTTTTTTCTGAAGTATAGCAAAACTTGAGATATTTTTGCCTAAAGTTTGGCCTGACTTACAAAGACAATTATGCAAACTTCAGTTCATAGTGCAATGACAAACTTCAGTTCAATAAAACCACAACATGTTTTGGCTGAAGTTTTTGTTTTGTAATTACTGAACTTCAGCATTCTAGGAGCTGAAGTTTGTTTTATAATTGCTGAACTTCAGCATTCTAGGAGCTGAAGTTTGTTTTGTAATTGCTGAAATTCAGCATTCTAGGCTGAAGTTTATTTTGTATTTGCTGAACTTCAGCACTCTAGGAGCTGAAGTTTTTGTTTATATTTGCTGAACTTCAGCATTCTAGGAGCTGAATTTTTTATTTATATTTGTTGAACTTCAGCATTCTTAGAGCTGAAGTTATGTTATGTCTTTCTTTGAAGTTAGATGGCTTTAAGAAGAGGAATAACTTTCTCATCTTCCGGTAATTTATTTAGGCTAAATCCATGTCAATATTCAACTGTGGATATTTAAAATATAGTAAATGTCATTTCGTGATTTATGTTCCATCTGACTTTGCACTCTCGTTTCCGTTTTGGAGCTTTTACCTTGATATAATTTCTAAAGTTAGAGCCTTCCTTACTTTATTTTGTGCCATTGGACTAAATACAGAAATATGAACTCACTTCTTGTGGCAGTAGTACCACATCCAATTAACCAATTAACCCGAAGAAGAAAAAGAAGGAGCAGAAGAAAACGAAGGAGGAGAAAGAGGCCTAGAGTTGTTTAAAAGTAGGTACAAATTAAAACTTTTTTAAAAAGTAGGTATATGTTAAATGAGGGCGATCAAATAAGACGCCCTGTGCAATTTTTACCTTTTCAATGTTGAAATGTAGTTTCTGGAGATTACCTCGTATTCACGTAATGCCTATCGAATTTTCATTGTCCAAGGTGCATGCAGAAGATTGATAACAAACTCAACAAGCTATGTTAGCTAAGAAATTGCTACTTCCAAATCCTGACTATCAAATTTTAAAAGTTAAGAAGTAGGAAAAGGATGATGATAAGAACTAAAGACAATCGGGCAACATCATTGATATGGAAATACTCATTATTAACCATGGGTAAGACTTAATTTTAGTTAATTAAATCTAAATTATTAACACGAATATTGGACAAATGTCATTCATCCAAGTAAGAATTTGGGAAATGGAGAGTTGGTATCGTGTTACTCCAATCTACCCCATTTGCTCGTCTTAATCTCTTTTGAAGAGTTAATCAACAACACTTGTCCTTTTCCATAAATTGTGCATATATAAAAGTATAAAAGGAGCTCCTAGGTAAACGCTTTGTTTGAAAAGCACATAACTTCACTACTTGTAAAATCAAATAATTCGAGCTAGTCAGATTAAACTTAGAGTTTTTGAAATTTATACATTTCTACAAACAGATATAAACTTTAATTTATGACTCAGAATTTCAACCAATATACGGGCTCTATAACGTATGATGTTTAAGATATCTTACCAAATAATTTACATAATGTAGCTCCACCTCTAGCTTTATCATATATTTACTCACATATTATAGTTTCAAGTTAAGTTGGATTAAACTAAATGGTGTATCTAAGTACATTTATTTGAAAATTATTTTTTTTTTCACAAATAAATGTAACATAAGGTTTGACCAAATTCAATTTTCCAAAAAAAAGAAGGATAAATAGTTGGGGTATAATCACTTTTAGCCCGCGCCAAAAACTATTTACATTTGATAGCCGAAAAAGTGTATAAAATTTGTATAATTTATATATATA